GCCCCAGGTTCGAATCCACCAACTGCCAGGTTACCACTGAGATGCACTGAGCATGGCATCGTCCTCAAGCACTGCTCCCCGGGTGCTGACCACGGCTGCCTACTGTTGACTTTGGTGATGTTAAATGCAGAGGGTAAATTTCGTTGTGCATGGTGTGCTGTGCTGTGTCACAATGACTAATAAAGATAAGTTAATGTTGTGTAGGTGTAGTGAACGTGTAGAAGGTGTGGTGACACCTGCTGGTGTGATGCAGCAGCTCCCTGTTATCACACCAGCTTTGTGTAACTGTCATAAAGAAGGCAGACTTCGACCCAGTGTTAGTGTGAAGTGAAACTAGGACTGAAAACATTTCACAAATATTAAAGATAAAATATTCAATGAGTTAATATTCGTCGGATGGAGACCTAAAGTAGTTTCTTTATTTATTTTTAGTTGTGTGTTTCCTTACCTCCGGGTTCTGCTGCAGGTCAGTGTTGTTGTTCTCCTTTAAAGAAGTTCACACAGAGTTACACTCCTGAGGAGTGGACTGAGGCACAGCAGCGCTGGACTGACTGATCCAATAAACCCCGCCCACTTCTTATCCTGCTCCCACTCTCTGTGTGTGTGTGTTTCCACGGAATATTATGGTTTGATACTGTGTGTCATGAAGGTTTTCAGGTTTCAAACCTCTGACGTTTCTACTGTTCAATGTTGGAACCTGTTGTCAAGTCTCTTCAGAAACTAGAACTTCTGACTCGGTCCATGTTTACGCCGTGATTAACAGAACTGTTCAACAACTTCAGTCAGAGGTTTATTTTCATTCCTGGGACTTGGAGACATGACCTGACTTGACTGTGCAGCGACAGCACGACCCGCCTCGTTTCACCTCCAGTCAGGTGGAGCCGAGTGTGTGTGACAGTTCTGAGTTCTGACAGACGGTCCTCCCTGGGCCGTCTGCTGTCCGTATGTGCCGTCTGTCCTGAGGGGACGCTTCACCACAGTAAACAGGAAGGCGGTGGTTGGTCACAGCGCCATCTGGGATGACTACACTTCCACGAGTCCAGGGAACTGATTTGTCATGTAGTCTGTGCTCAGCAGCGACTAAATTAAACCCTGAGGTTTGGTCTTGGGCTCCCTCTAGTGGCATGCACTAGAGGGAGCCTATTTTCTTTTTAAGTGGAGGTAGATAAAATAAAGGGCTAAAAACAAATCTGAACATAAAATGAGATTATGGATTATTATTAATGTTCTAATCCAGGTCCAGTAGATTACATGCCCCCACCCACAGTTGGATGTCGGTTGGATGTATATTGTTATTTCCTTCTCAACAACACAACAGTAGTTGAGCTAGTGTGGCTACATTAGCATTCTGCTGCTGCACCATCAGTCTGTCAGGGTTTGCTCCTTTCCTGTCCTTTTTCCTGTCTGACATTCCTGGTTTAATGACATCACCAGGCTCTGAATGGTTGATGGTTCAACGCCCGGACGTCAGGAATATCAATGGATCACAGTGTTTCTCTCTCTGTTTCCTGCAGGTGCTGGGAAAGCTAATTGCAAAGTCGCCATTGTGATGTGCAGGAGCAGCTCCAAGGAGTCCAGCAGCAGGTAGGGGGTGTGGGGGGGTCGACTCCTGACCTGCTGGAAATGGATTGGATTGATTACAGTTTCTGTTCTGTGTGTGTTTGTCTTAGACACGGCCAACACACTATGGTCCTGGTTCCCATGGAAACGGCAGGTGTAAAACTGGTCCGACCGCTCACTGTGTTTGGACAGGATGGTAGGACTAGTAACATCGTTAACACCTTTAACTACTGTTTGTCTAATCTTAGGGTTTACGTATGTAAATGCTAATCTTTAGCAGTATTGGAGTAACAGTCAGTGTTCAGCTGTATATCCCTGACTTTTAGCTTTCCAAGCTAATTTCACAAAGTCTTTCGCTCGTTGCTTATTCTGACAGTTAGCTAAATGCTAGAGCTGTCATTTCATTTCTCTCCAGACTGAGATGAAAACAAAACAACTGTTTTTACCCCTCTGTGCCCAGATGCCATCCACGGTGGTCACTTTGAAGTGCACTTTGAAAATGTCAGAGTTCCTGCAGCCAACATCATTCTGGGTAAGTCTTCATAACTGTCAGTCCAGGACTTGTCCTGGTCCTGGTCCAGGTCCTGGTCCTAAAACAAACAGTAAAATGCTGCCATCTGCCAAAAAAATAAATTACTGCAATTTCTAAATCATTTCAACATCAACACCAGAGTACGTCTGCCCTGAAAACAAGTGTAAATGTACCATGTTCCACTAACCTTTTCCTAGTCCTCCCTTCACCTGGTTCTTCCGTTCTGTCTCAGCTCCTTCTGACTGTTTGTCCTTTGTCTCCAGGAGAAGGCCGAGGGTTTGAGATCGCTCAGGGTCGTCTGGGACCAGGCCGTCTGCACCACTGCATGAGGGCCGTTGGTTTGGCAGAGTTTGCTCTGGAGCTGCTCTGCCAGCGAGCCGCCAACAGGCAGACATTTGGGAAGAAACTGTATCAACATGTAGGTCGACTGCACAGCTGCTGTCCTGATCGTTCCCACTGGTGACATCTAGTGGACGTTGTTACACACAGAGACCAGTCTGAACTGGTTTTAGTCGTTAATGTCCGACACCTGTCTGTCTGAGGACTTTCTGACTGGTCTGTTTTAATCCAGGAGGTAGTTGCCCATTGGATAGCCGAGTGCCGTCTGATGATTGACCAGACCCGTCTGCTGACGCTCCAGGCGGCTCACGCACTCGATACGGGAGGTGTCAGAGCCGCACGAAAACAGGTAAAGACTGGTGAACGGTGCCACCTAATGGTTGTGGGGACATTTCAATGGTTGGTCTTTCGTGTTGTGCGAACAGTTGGATTAACTGACTGTTCCAGCAGCATTGATCTGTTTTCATGTCGGTCTGTGGGGTTGGGGGGGGGGGTTCACTCATTTGTTCCCTGCCATATTTGTTATGTGTGAAATTGTAATATTTTTTGTATTTGTACACGGACCATAGATTGAGAACCACTGCCTCAATCAGTTACCCCACTTTTCCTCTCCTGCTCTGCACTGCTTTGCAGATCGCGATGATCAAAGTGGCCGCGGCCAGAATGGCCTGTCAGGTGGTGGACTGTGCCGTGCAGGTCTACGGAGCAGCGGGACTGTCTGCAGACTTCCCTCTAGCACAGATGTGAGTCACTCCTGCTGAGCTCGTCGGCACCGACCTCAACTAACCACGTCTGTCACTGACACGGATGTTGCTCCGCAGGTACGCCTACGCCCGGACACTACGCCTTGCTGACGGACCAGACGAGGTTCACCTCTCCTCCGTGGCTCATTTAGAGCTCAGAGACCAGCTGTCCAAACTGTGATGTCATGACCACGACTGAGGGTGGAGCCGCACGTCACCTGATGAAGACTCTGCTTACCATTTGGTTTTGGACGAAAGGTGAAACATTTAACCAAAAGTCCAAAAAGTATTTTATATGAATATTTCAAAAAAATCACCCAAAACCATGACTTAGGGGTCCAAAAAGTATTTTATATGAATATTTCAAAATTCACCCAAAACCATGACTTACTATAGCCTTATCTTCGTGAAAAAATCCCAACAAATTGACCAAAAATGACACAGAAAGTTCACATTTTGACAGAAAGTTATATAAAATTACATTTTGAAAAAAGTTCTCTAAAAGCCCAAATCTGATGAGAAACATGGAAGGAAAGACACAATTTTGAAAAATAATTTTACAAAACTCATTGTTAAAATGTATTAGTTTTTGACCAGAATTGACATGAATATTTACATTTTGACAGAAAGGTATATAAAAATAAATTTCTAAAAATGTTTTCTAAAAGCCCTAATTTTATGAGAAACGTGCAAAAAGCGAAAAGATACAAATAAAAAAAAAGTTAACATGCTTTTTGTCTTTTTTTGTTTTTCATCAAAAATGACACAAATTCACATCTTGACAGAAAATGCTATACAACTAAATTTCTAAAAATCTTCTCTCAATGCCCTAATTTGATGAGAAACATGGAAGAAAAGTTACCATTTGGAAAAATAATTTGACAGATATTCATCAATTTTTCACTAAAAATTATATTAAAAGTTAAGTGACACGAAAAGTTCACATTTTGACAGACAATTTTATAGTAAGAAATTTGTAAAAATATCCTCTAAAAGCCCTAATTTTATTAGAAACATACAGGAGAAGATGAAGTTTTTAAAAATAATTTAACAAAAATCTTCATCTTCATTTTTTGTTTTTGACCAAAAATGACAAAGTTCACATTATGACAGAACATTTTATAGAAAAAAAATTCTAAAAATGTTCACTAAATGCCCTAATTGTATGAGAAACATGCAGCAAAAGATGAAATTTAAAAAAATAATTTTACAAAAATGTTCATCAGGATTGTTTAGTTTTTGATCAAAAATGACACAAAAAGTTCACATTATGACCGAAGATTTTATAGAAAGAAATTTCTAAAAATGTTTTCTAAATGCCCTAATTTTATGAGAAACATTCAAGAAAAGATCAAGTTTTTAAAAATATTACAAATATTTTCATCAAAGTGTTTTAGTTTTTTACCAAAAATGACACAAAAACTTCAACACATTTTGACAGAACATTTTATAGAAAAAAAATTCCAAAAATGTTTTCTAAAATGCAAGATTATGCCTTACTATACACGCCAAGTGAATATTTTGTGTTTAAAAGTCCAAAAAGTATTTTATATGAATATTTCAAAAATCACCCAAAACACGCCTTACTATAGCCTTACCATCGTGAAAAAAATCCAAAAAAATAAAAAGTCCCCGAAATGCACTAAAATGCAAGA